TAGCATTTCAGTGTGCATCTTGAAACTTACAGCTTGGGGGAAAAAAACCAAAAAGTTAAGCTTGGTAAGTCATCCATCCAGAAGAAGAGAATCTTAGAATTGGAAAGAACTGCAGAACGATTTGAGTTGGAAGAGACCTTAAAACTGTGTAATTCTAACCCCCCTGCCGTGGCACCTTCCTCTAGATCAGGCTTCTCAGTTGCTGGTGCGTGGTATCCTAGCATTCCCTTGTGTTCTACTTTTTGTTAAGATTTCTTTTTTCATCCCTTGGAGAATTTAATATTAAAATGAACTGTTAATTAGCCAGTTGTTGACATCAGTTGTCAATAGAAGAAAATAAAACGGGATAGGGATCCTGTGCTTAACAGTGCAGTATAGATGTCTGAACTTCAAGGCTATTTTTGCTTCTTCTAGCTGTACTGTGTCTTGTTTAGTGTATGGCATGGTGCAGGCTATTTCTGCACTTGCTCTGCTTCTGTTTCAACTGAGTTCCAGTCCTGTTTATACTTACTGTTCTTGTTTGTTTAGGTCTTACGTATGAGGATTAGAGCTGATTCTAATGTGGTAATACAGATGCAATCTGGATGCCTCTATAGGAAATTGAGAGGCAAAATCTGAAATCAAGACGGTACTTCAAGTGAGTGGATAGCTAGACTGTGAACCTTGCTGCTAATGAATATCATGAAATACAAGTGAGTAAATTGGTTCTGAAAGGAGCTGAGCAGACCCAGAAGGAGCTATTGAATCTAATGGACACCATTAGGATGAGGTATTATAAATTGCTGAGTATTAGAACTGGGAGGTAGAAAAGTTTGTTCTGTACTTACTTCTTGTATTACTTTTCTTTTCTAAATAGCTGCTGCTGGTTAAGGTAGCACATGAGCTTTTGATCCAGGTGGACATTTGTTCTAAATTGCCATAGTTTTCTGAACATTTTCAGAAGCAGTTTCACCTTCTATATTCTTGAAGGTATGAAGTAGGTAGGATTTAACAGCAGGAAAGTGTTACTTCTTAAAACTAAAAGTCTCTCTAACAAGTTGGCTAGCTGTTAGTTGGACGGGATCTGATGGATGCTAACCCTGCCCTCAGTGCTGGGGCTGGAACTGGATGATCTTAAATGTACCTTCCAACCTAAGCCATCTGATGGATAAACAGGCATTCTAACCTCTTGTTTTGTCTGCTAGCAAATACATTCTACTAATTTGCTATGTGCATGCCCACTCATCAAATCAGTAAAAAAGATTGGACTTTTGTTCATTGCTATTCATTGTGTTTTTGCGTCTGTCATCAAAATAGTTGACATATGGACTGAACCTTAGATCTTGCCATGTTCAGACATTGATGAAATGCCATAGATTTCATAAGCCAAAGTCTTCCTTTCCTGCTGGAAGTTTAGAGAGGCTCAAGGAGATACTGCTATGGTAGATGGAAAAAGGAGTTTACTGAGTACACACACACACACACACACACACACCATACAATCACATCTATCTCAGGAAGTAACTTGAATTGAAAACAGATAGTGTGGCTGGTCACTGAAAGGGGGAGTGCTGTGTTTTCTTGCCCTGTTTGTACTCTTTTCTATGTATTTATTCATGGTTGTTGCTGCTGGAAGCAAGATGCTGACCTGAATGAATCTTTGGTCTTGATCTAGTACAAATGAAAAAAGGAGAGATGTCTCGCTCCATGCATTCCTGCTTCCACTGGGATCAATAATTTCATGTGACTAGAAAGAAAGAACAGGAAAGATTTCAACTGCTTATATTGAAACAACAGATCCTGTTTATGCCTTTCATTAGTCCCCAGAAATCTACTACCTAACAAGACAAATTTGTTTTTGAAGCTTCATGATTCACTGGCAGTATTAACTCTTAGGCTATGGCCTTTTGCTGCTTGACATTTAATTTTTAAGAGCAGTTCTTTAAATGTTAATTTCTGCTTCCTTTTCTGAAGTTCCGAACTGCTAAGAATTATTTAATTTTCAACTTGAACAGTTTTACTAATGAATGGTAATGCCTTCTGATTTAGTAGGCATAAGCATTCATTGCTGTCATCTTACAGATTGTGCAGCTGTGATTGGGATCACCAGTGGCATTTCCTTTCAGTAGGTGAAAATGGCACTGATATCATGAGCCAGAATTTACATTCTTCATAGCTGTTCCAAAAGCAAGCTGGTATTTGTCAGATGATCTTCTTTGGGAGGCTGAAGAACAGTTACACTTTCTTTCGTGGATGATTTCATTTTGATTCATCTGGATTTATCTGGTCCTCATTAAGGTACTCTGAAAAAACAAGGGTATAGTTCCTTGCATAATACATAGTTCATACTTATTTGCAGTGTTCTCATCTCCTGCAGGTTGACAAGAAGACTTCAGGTCTTATTCTAACGAGACAGTAAAAGCCTTCTTTCTCAAAAATAGGGAATAGAACTTGGTCAATAATAGTTTTTTTCCATCACTCTTGATTTACTGGCCAGATTTATTGATGGAGTTGAAATACCCTTAGGTTCAAGCAATTTTCTATTTCAGATTTCCTTCCATTACTGCACTGCAGAGTCTTCTGCATAGCTAACTCTTCCTTTGGGCATTGTGACAGCTTGGTCAAATTCATTGCATGTTCTTGCATTTATTGATGAGATTGTGTGAAATAACTTACAAGTGCCACCTTCCTGGGACATGACTTCAGCTGAAGGACATTGGCAGAGATCCCACTGAGTGTTAGGCTGGGTAATGAGAGGAGCTAATTGCCTTTGGAAGTTCATGTGTGGAAAGATAGTGTGCAGCTTGCTTATTCTGAGAGGAAGGGTTTGGTGTTGAGGTTGTGGTTCTGAGTCTCAGGTGATGCTGGTAGATAAAAAAGCAATTACTTGTATTGAAATAATCACAGGATATAACATATTTTTTATGCATTTTATGGAATCCTAGAATGGCTTGTGTTGGAAGGGACCTCATGAAGCTCCAACTCCCCTGCTGCATGCAGGGCTGCCAACCTCCATATCTAATACTAGACCAGGCTGCCCATGGCCCCATCCAACCTGGCCTTGAACACCTCCAGGAACAGAGCATCCACAGCCTCTCTGGGCAGCCTGTGCCAGCACCTCACCATGTAATGCTTTGCTCATGAAAAATGTTATCAACTCTCTTCATCTCAATCTTTGTTCATTCTACAAGTGGTATTTCCTTTTGCACTATTCTGATGTGTTGGTGAAGTGTTGATTCAAAAGGTAAGTTACCTACTGAAAGAGCAGTAGTGTTTGCCTTCTCTTATGTTTAATGTAGCTAGACCAGCCCATCTTGACTTTGACAGTAGCACAGATTACAGTATGTAGTTGGAAGTCTACGGGCTACTTCTCTTAAATGTGAAGCTATTTTAATTGCTGTTCTGACTGGGAAATTACCAACCTTGTGTGTGAGGGAAACACAGAAAAATAGGTGGAAGTAAGGGAAAAACTCTTATTCCTTATTTACTTTCTTTGCTGGTTGTGGTCCATCCTGTATTAGGACAAAACAGGACAAAAACTGTTTGTTTTGAGAAGAGTTGCACTGTTGTGCAGGCTTCTGGCTAAGCACATGCTTCTAGTTAGGATGTAACCTGGCATTTATTTTAATATCTGGAATACTGTATAGAAATGAACTGTGGTTTTGGTGTCTATTTAAAAAAAAAACAAACAAACAAAACTTTTCCTGTGCAGTTACATTATGGACTGTTTAACAAATATTTGACTTGTTAATATGAGACTAAATAATCAGAGTTCAAAATCCAAATTGCTTCTTTTTCCTCTGTTGAATAAACAAATACTTCAATATTTTTAACATTTAAAAGTAAAGAAAAACACATGATGTGTTTCAGCAAAATATAATGATTATTGAAGTATGTCTGTGTAACGATTTGCAGCTATTAAAAAACACAGTATATAAAAAAAAAAGATGTCTTAGACTACATTACTGTGATAAACAACGCATGAACGATCTGTGTGTTCTTGTTAAGTCCTTAACAGTATGTAAAGGTCCATCCAGCCCTCAGTCTCCTTGAGTAGAACTTGTTGCAAGATGAATTTTAGTTTGCAGAAATCTTGGCTGCTTGTCCTGTAAAAAACTGGGACTGATGCTTACAAAGGAAGTATTTATGAAGGAAAGTATGACAGATGGTTTCAACTCTTCTATATAGTACTTGCAACTGACTTTTGTGTATGGGGGGAAAACAAAAAAGAAACAGCGCTGTTGTCCTTTTTCAAAAACTGTGCATCACTGGCAGGCAGCATGTTGGATTTAAAAAAGAAAAACAGAACACAAATGAAATAACAACTGAAAAATCACGTTCCCATTTTGGAAGATTAAAGGGTAAGGATCTTTATCAAACAAGTTTAGTGGATCTATAGAAATACTTGGGGGGGATTTATTCTCTGTGTGTATAATCCTTTAATGCTAATCCACATTACAAATTGATCAGAAAGTATGAAATATTCCTTTGTTTCCAGCATTTGAAAGGCAGCTGTTCTGCAGAATCCTCATAAGCTACCAGAATCTTCGTTGACTTACAGATTGCAAATTCTCTTCTTAAAATTGATAAAAGTTTAGGAGATGTATTTATGAAGTAGATGTGTGTTTAATGCTCTGTACCCCAGAAGGCTTCCCTTGGTAATGTTTTGTATGGTTTATTATTGTATAACAGTACCCCAAAATTCTTCCTATGCAAACACTCGTGTGATCATTTTGTCATTAAGAGCACGAACTGAAAAAAACCCAAGTGTTATGTTATGTTAGAACTATCTGTTAAAAGCAGAGATAAGGCACATGATCCCATTTTATGTACTTAAAAAATCTTCTCCTGTTAGATGTAGGACATAGGAACACATCACTCATGAAATTGTAATACTCAAATGTCTTGCACAGTGAAATTTATTGTCAAGTACAGCTACCTCAAATGGTTGTGTTAATGAAGTGTAGCAGCAAAGCTGTTAAGTATTTTACTTATTGTTTTTTCTTGTTTTTTTTTTCCAGACCGATCTTGATTATGTTAACAATGTTGTTGCGAGCCTGGAAAAAGAGTAAGTTGCAGTTCTAATGAGAAACTTTGCTTATTGGTGACTTTGCTTGTTGTTTTTCCTAAGAAACGCCTTGATGAATACTAAAAAGTGTTATGGTAGTATGAGGCTGTACATTTTTGGTTAGGGAGGGGATTTCTACGTTTGAGTGAAAAGAAGTATTAAACGATAAATTAAGGGGTGATTATTCAGTCAATTAAATCTAAAACAAATGGAATTTAAATTGATTTTGTAGACTATAAGTGACTTTAATTAGCTGAACATTAATGGGAATTTGTTACTTCTGTGTTATTGCCTTGTATTCCATATGTTCAGAGAGAACTGTAGAAGAAAATTGCTAAGTTCTAGTGAGGGAATAAAAAATCAAGTGTTTAGAAGCTAATTAGCATTCTGATTATTAATCAAGTGGCTACACTATTCTAAGGAAGGTGTTAGGCAAAACAGTATACACTGTCTTACTTTACATCCCTCGTTTGAATGAGTCGTTGTTACAACCAGAACTCAAAGTAGCTTGTATGACTCTGTGATGTTTTTACTGACAGATTTTCTACAGAGATCAATTCTGGGTTGGTGGAAGTAATAGCCCCTCCTGCAACTTACTATCCTGATTTGACAAACTTGAAAGAAACGTTTGGAGACTCAAAAGAGAGAGTGAGGTGAGTTTATTCCTTCCTATCTTTTTTCATCTCCCCCCACATCCACACTTTCCGTGTTTATAAATCGTCAAGTGGGGAGTGGATTCTTTAAATGTTTTCTTACTGTAATTCTCAAAAGTGTGGGGATGCTAAAAGAGCACCGAGTCCTTCTCGATGCCCTTGTATCTGCATGCTGTTCTGTGCGTGAGCTGAGTTTAATGCTAAGCTTCAGTGAACTCTTTCAGTGTTAAATTCTGGGAGAAAAATGGAGATTTTTTTTTTTTTCTCTTGTTTACTGTTCTTCTTCCTGAAATATGTTGTGAAACCCAGTAGTCGCTACTGAATTATTAATTAAAATAGACATGTGTTTTAGTGAAATGTAAGGTAGATTTCACAGAACCAGAGGCAACTTAAACCAGTTTTTGTATGTATGAAAGCATGACAAGAGGGCTTTATTGCTTTTTCTTTCCCAGACAGATTTCCCGAGGGAACGATGCCAAAAGCAGTTTTCCTAATATTTCACCAGTATGGTCATTCTTCATAATGAGATCTACTTTGCATTGCCAATGAGTATTGAAATAACTTTTTCCATAATACTTAAGTTTGTAATTGATTTTCAGATGGAGAACAAAACAAAACTTGGATTACTGCTTTCTTATGATGTACGCCCAGAAAAAGGGAGTTTATTACATCCAGGTAAGTTTCTGTTCTTTGTTTTAAATTAATCTCCAAAAATCATGCCAGTGCTCTCAGCAGAAGGACCTACAGAGCAGAGTTAACATGATTCCATTCTTAGTGGCCAATAAGTATGTGGGTTATTGTATCTGAGGAAGTATTTTGTGGATGGCACTCTTTGAAGTAGAAAGCAACTTACTGCATATGATTGATTTTTATCTTAAGATGCTTAGCATAAAAAGTGATGGAATGCAGGCAGCTTAACTGCTGTTTTTTCTTTTTTCCCCCAAATGATTTGCAGTTGAGGCAAAAGGCACCAGCATAGTGTTGAGTAGAAGTTGAGCTAAAATCTATTTTTCTTCCTCTTGAAAGCATGTGCGGTGTCACTTTGATCTCTAGAGTCTGTTGTATATAGCTGCATTTTTTTTTCAGAAACACAGACAGTGAATTAATCTGAAGTTTAATTTAGCTCAGAATTGTTCCTCTTTGTCTCCCTGCTTCGAAGTAGGTAGAAGTCTCGCCTACAAGTGTTGCAGATCTAGTGAGTAGCTGTGCTTAGGATTTTCATTTAGATTTTGGGACTGTATCCTTTGGGTATAACACTCCACTCGTGCAGTTTTTCCAAAGTGAGCTTTTCTGACTACTGTCTAAGAGCTGTCGGAGACTCAGTACTCCTGAAAGCTGTGCAGGGGATGATGTATTGGCAGCCTGCTTGAAGGTAGGCAAGTCACACAAATGTTAGTGCCAGCACAAAGAGGTGAGAGTGAATGCTCTAGGAGTTAGAACAGGAGCTGCAGTATCCTTTCTGCAGCAGTCTGCACTTAATGTGAAATAAAGGGATTGCAGCACAGCATCTTGGAAGTTGTGCGGTCTGGGTGAGGCTGGACTATGCACCTGTTCTTCTGTTGGACAGCTGAAGTCAGGAAATGGGGAAGTGAATCCTGCCTCTGTAGGTGGCATCTCTTAGCTTCTTGAGAAAGTCTTTCAGTTCTAGGAAGGGAGTGAGTAAATAATCACACCGTCATAGAAATAATACAAAAATTCTATTTGTTCTCCATATAATGTCCTGATGATGTCACTTGATCTGAAATTACTTCGTGAATGGTTCTTTTCTGAAGATAGAGGCTAGAAAAGTAGTGTGAACTTATTACTAACTACTTAACATCTGCATTATGTTGAAATGTATTGATGGCATTTTATTACAGAAGGATTCTGGATTAGTTCTCCAGTGTTACACTGTGAACCATACAATATTTATTCTTGTCTGTAGAGCTGAGGCTTTATAGCAATCCTTGCATTAAAAATATATGGGTATGTGTTAGCAATGTATTACAAATCACTGTTTCCTAGCACTGTTTTCTTCTATCACTTTTCTGTTTTTCATGAATGTTGATATCATTGCTCCCTTTTTCTAGCTTGAAGATGACATTGTTGTCAAGCAGAATTACTTCAGCACCATAAAGAACTTTGCGCTTCAGCTCGCTTCTGAAGATTGGATGATTCTGGAATTTTCTCAGCTGGGTTTCATTGGTAAGAAAATGTTCATTTTAGTAGTTTGAAAGAGCACATTCATCCTTAGATGGTGTGATGAATAGTGATCTGACTTCAAAGTTATCTTTGTACTGGAAATAAATCAAGAATTAGAAATTCTTTGGCTTCTTAAAGAATTCTGTGGTTTAACTCATGTTTGTGTTTGTTAGTTTAGCTACTTTTCCATGACAGTCAAATTCAAACTGTTGGAAGTAAGAGCATTTTTAGAACCAGAAATTATTTTATTCATAAGAACACTTGAACTGCAAGGAATTACTTATTTTAACTACAGTTAAAATATAAATGTAATTAGACTGTGAAGTTCAAGGGGCAAAAGCCCAAGAGTGAGCACTGCCTGAAACAGGCAAAATGGTGTTTAAGGTAAAATTTCCAAGGATCATCAGACATCGTTTTGTCTTGGTTGCAAAGCCTGTTTTATCTTTGCCTTTCTAATCCATCCAGAAGTTATGGCAATGTGCTCCTTCATAGGATTATTTAGAGGCTGTCTTGTCAATGGCAGTAAACAACAGTGAGAGAAGTTAATGCAGCACCTTGGATTCCTGGCGGAGGCTGCTGAAATCATTGTATAGTTATTTTTTCTGTCTTACACTAATCTGTTCTTATTGAGAAATACTGGACTTAACAGAAAACAACAACAACAACAAGGAAAGAAATTTTAAAGGAATTTTGCACCTTGAAAGGGGTATCTCATTATTGCAGTGATGTATCACGATGAAATTAAAAGCATAAAGCTGGAGATATGCAAGGAAAAATTAAAAACTAAGTCAGGCTGTGGAGTTTCCTGTACTATGCTGTTTACAGCTCCAGCACCACGTATGTTGCTGAGGCAATAGTTTCCTGATTTTCAGGGGTTCAGAGACTGACAAAGTTGAATGGAAACTAGCAGTCATTTCCTAAGGTACTGTTAGGTTACAAAACTGCTTTGTGCGTTTGATTGCCAGTCTTACCTACAGTGGAGGGCTGGAGAGGACATGGACAGAGGGAAGTCTTCCCATCTCCTATCTGCTACCCACATAACCAATCTGCTTGATTGCCTTGGGCAAACCAAGGAGGGAAAAACAGGAGATGAAGCTGCTTGTCATGGAGAAATAAGCATTCAAATAATTGGAGTTTTTGCCAAAAGTAAGCTTGTCTCTTTTGTTGGGAGAAGGAACAACTTGCAACTGTCAGCTCTGTGGTTCTGCGGCTGGAGAGTTTGCTTGGATAATAGCTTCTGACTAAATTTTGTTTCTACTTTTAACCAGGTAAACTCTAATTATGGATTTAGATGGGGTTAGAGTTTTAGATCCAGGCCTAACTGCACTTTGGATGTAAAGTCTGTGTGAAGTTCCTAGGCTATAGAGGCAGTTTGTCTTGCATAAATAGTGCAATGTGGATGGATATAAAGTTGTGTTATTTTTCTTTTTCCCGTGTCTGTATACTGTCTGTTTGCAGCATGGGCTCTGAAAATGGCTATCATTAGTTGTTTCTGCTGCCAGGTATCCCTGTTCTGGTCCTTCTTACATATTTGTCTTCATCCTGATGATTAAATGATTAAAATTTTGGATGCGTTATCTATGACTACATATCTTAATGTGTTGGGTTGTTTTTTTCTTTAACCAACAAAATAACATTTTTTCCTCCCAGTTTAGCTACTTATCCCACTTCTAAGTTTTGAGAAAAAAGTTGGTATTCATGAAGGTGACTAATACTTCTGGCTTTAAAACCTTCTGATCTACAATAGCCATATTCTGCATTTGAATATGCAAACAATGTAGATTTCCCTCATCTGTGCTACCTCTTTATGAATCTTGATGATTTGGTAAAGCAGACAGCTAAAGAGAAGGACAAAAGTAGTTTGTTGTAATTTGGGATGATTTTTATGTAGATACATAAAAATAGAGTACAGAACTGCTAGTGATTTAGCAATTAGGGATTTAGTGTAGCTGATTCATTGCAGTCTACTAGAAGCCTTGATCAGCTTACAAATTCTTCCAGGAAAAAATGTGTTTTTGTCATAGTGTTTCTGAACTGAAAATCTAATTTACGCAAGTAGTACATGAAGAAGTGGGAAATGCAGCTGTTCAGGCTGACAGCAGGATTATAAAATTCTGTCACCTCCACCATTGAGGAGAAGTTGCTTTCTTTGATTTATTTTTATTTTTTTGATACTGAAAGCATAGCCCTAAGTGCTGTCAAGTATCTAATAAATAATGGGTGAGATGTGTGCTCTTTCCCTAGAAGCTCTATGGAAGGAGGTGCCTCTTCTGCTCTTTCAAATTCAGCTCTGCACTGCAGTCCTTAGCATAACATGGTAAAGTCCTGCCAGATTTTTTATGAGAAATGCCAATTTGCCTTCCAATTGCTTGTAAGCTGAAGTGCTTTCCAGAGGATTTACAATACCTTGTCCTGTAGCTATAGTGTCAGATGTCACAAACTCTAATGGAGCAGTCTGAAATCAGCCTCTAGGTTGTCTTTTGCAGTCCTTCTAATTCTTCCAATTTGTGGTTAGGTCTCCAGCTTGGTGATTTTTGACTGCATACTGGGGACAGAAAAAGGGCAGTCTGCAGGCTAGATTTGGATGCCACCGGAGTGGCTTCATGGCTCACAGCATTTTTATCATTTGTAGCTATGTGGGCTTGAGTAAATGCTTCTGTTTGTTCTTGGGCTATGTCTGTGTCCCAGGGAAGCCAGGCTGCTGCTGTCACCCTCATGAAGGAAAAGCTAGGCAAGGGCTTGGCTTGTTTGGATTTAGAGGGGCTGAAATCTTGGATGTATGGAGCAGGGATTGTCTTGGTCTAGTTACCATGCCAAAGAGAAGCTGTGTACAGTTGGAGTTCTGAAGCTTTCAAGACCTCCACAGGGAAAGCCTGTGATAAAGCAAATCTTGGTTTTGAGCTTGGTATAGGAAGGGTGTTCTGAGGCCAGAAGTGCTTTGCAGGTGACAGAAATGGCAGATAGAGGTGGTGTTGTATTGTACTGAAAGGCAAAGTGCTGGGGGAGGGCTGTGCCATACTGAGTATGAAGGTGGTGACAGCACTTCAGAAAGCAGTATGTGTGCGTCTGCCCTTAGTGAGAGGCAGTGTTACTCCAGGTAGGTGTCTCAGGCTTGAGGAGCAGGATTCTGCGTGTTAGTTTTTGCTCCAGTGCTCATTGGAGCCTCAAGGAGAAGGCTTTGCCTGTGCTGTTCCACAGTGTTCAGGAGTGTGAGTGGCCAGTGGGGTTTGAGGACACTTGTACCCGGATTCTTCACTGTGTCAGGGGTCAGAACTTTATTGCATGGTTGAACAATAGCATGCAAATGCAGGCCTAGAAGAAGGCACCTTTGAGCACAGATTTGCCACGGAGAAGTAAATAATCTGCTTATTCATATCCTGGTTCTATTTTAGATAAAATTAGGATAACTTAGATTAAAAGAGTATATGCCCACTCTTCAGTCTTTTTCTCTGGTTATTTAGTTGTTGGGGTTTCTAGTGGCACAGTCCGTGAGTGTCTTTTCACCACAGATGACAACTGAAGACTACACTGTCTTCTTTAGAAGATGAGCTGATCAAAGTGATATATGTACAGTGTGGTGCTATTGCTGTGTCTTTGAGTAGAAGAAGAAAAGGACTCCAGAGCAAATGGAGTACATATACCTATAGCCCTGGAAGAGGATAAGCTGTCTCTTCAGTCAGCCCCCACAGCAATTGGAACAATAGTGTGGGGATGTTTTCTAGGTTGCATGTGTATCTTTACAATACACATCACGGAAAGGTCATCTTTCTGTGGAAGCAGGTGTGACTGACAGGCTATTTCAACCAGTGTCATCCAGAAATGGTGATTTCAGTCCCGTAAATGCTTCATGAGCCCTTACATTTTTAAGCTGATCTTTGATTAGGGTTTCTTGTATTTTTCTCTTTTCCTACACTGTTATCAAAAGCAGTAGGCAGAGATGAATCACCAGGAAAATTAGGAGCCTATTTAGTTGGAAGTGTGACAAGCTGAAAGAGCTGTTATTCCACCTGAACATTTTATACAATATTGTACAAATAATTTGATTGTTTCCTATCTGTTTTTAAATGCTTCTATAAATAATGTTAAACAACATGACAACAACAAAGTATGTAAATAGCAACAATATCCTAATAAAGACCTAAAGATTTTTATTTTTTTTTTAACAAGACAGTTCTAATTTAGAGGGAATTGTCCTTTGTTTAATGGGAGCCTCATGTAAGTCACACATTAATTTCAAGTGGGGATGTCTGTTTGAGGTCCTTCTTGTAGAAAGCACTAACAAATAATGTCAGTGTTTTTTCCTTATAAAATTAGAAATTCAAAGTTTGTGAGGGACAGCTTTCTGACTTGGCAGTGTTGGGTCTCTTACTATGTCTTAGCACGCTTAATTCTCCACCCAGCTCTGTGAATAGTCTCCTTTGTGACCACAACGTCATTCCAACAGATGAAACAATTGGGACTTCTTATGTCAGATACAACTTGCATAGTGTACTACATCATGATGTAATCACATTACATCCTCCAAACTGATTTCAAATTCCAAAAGAACTGTTATGTCATTGGCTGTTCTCTTTGCCAGTTTCACACAAGTCATGCAGGAATGGAATAAGAGTTCTTATGTTTGACATGCTTTCTGGAAATGATGGAGCCCTTTCGGTGACCTCCTGTGTCTCTAACCCCTTTTAGAGAGAATGAAGAATTTTGCAGGTCAGGATCTGAACATTGTTAGAGCAAGTCTCCAGATGTATGAGTCTGATAATTGATGGTGCTGGAGCACACATAAAAAAGGCCACCACAACTTAGATGTTCTCACTTAAAACATATCCTGGTTACCTAATATGTAAGCTGATAACCTGGAATTCTGTGTCTGTGCTGAGATAGTGTAAAACATGCCAACCTCAGTCCCACTTCAGCGGAGAAATTCTCCATCCCTATTAAAAAGATTTGAACTCCCAGCTCCTTTTTTTTGTGTTTACTGGTTGATTTATTGTACTACCTTGTGATAATCCTCCATGAATTACAGACCTAGGTGAGCCTCAAAGAAAGTAACTGAAACTGAGTGATGGTCCACATGCATATTCACAGCAGAAATATCATCACTTAAGGCAAAAATTAATGTAGTCTTAGGTGTAGTATTGGCTCAGGGTGATACTTCAGCCATATCCTGTCTTCTGTTTATGTAAAAGTGAACATCCACCTTGAGGAATGGAGTAATGCAGAGTGCTTGCAGTTCTTCATTTCCGTTCAGCCACATGTTCAAGTGAAGTGCTCCACTGCTGATAGTTTATGTTGCATACAAAAGGTTGTTCCTTGTTTGTTTGTCTTCAAGAATAGCCTGTGCAGCTCCTTAATGGCCTTTCTGGAGAGTTTTCTGTTCTTGTAGTGAGAACCAATTTCCCTTTTCTAATGTGCAGAGTGGTTTTGCTACCTCAGAGACAGATATTCTTAGTATTTACTCCAGCTGTTCCTTCAAAATGTAGAAAGAAAAAATACTGGGAACCCCTACTACTTGTGGACTTGATTGAAAAAACTTATGAAGGCCTTGTGCATTACAAATGAAGAGAAAATTTCACATCCTTAAGTGTGTTATTGCACATCCAAGTGTGGGTATGCTAAGAACTGGCATTGGAGAAGATCCTCTATTGCACTTTTATCTATTCATGTGCATGTCCCCCAAGAGCCCATGTATATATGTCAGCACTTCCTTCATCTAAGCACCATCTACAAAACTTAATCATGTCAGCTGGCATCCCCCCACGTGGTTCATTATTGTGTAAAGTCGTCTTTTCTTGTGTCTTCCATACTTCATCTTCAAACCTGATGATGCTTTCTGAATGTGTCCTCACTTCTAGATCTGGCTTTGGAAGCTTGAAGTTGTCACTGAGTCCCAGGTAGTAGAATTGCTTGTTGTTGGACTCTTTCTTCATGTTTGGGCTGTCCCACTGCCAGTTACTTATTGTGCCTAGTAGCCGTATCTTTACAGGAGATGCCTTAATTAGGTGCTGCGTTCAGTGCAACAACAAAGTCGAGTGTATTGGCCACTTTTCTCTTCAGACACCTTCTACTGCCCTGCAGAAAGTTGCTGATATAATACACTCTACAAAAACAAGAAGTTTCTCTTTTTCATCTAGGCCTTGTTTTAGAACTCATATTTTGTAGAATTGCAAGGATTCTGTAGTAACCATGTCACCAAGAAGTCTATCTGTGCTTTACCAAGGAGTATGTTATCTTGAAAGCCCCAAAGTCACATCAGTATATAGCAAAATTCTCCAGTTCTTTATCACATGAGGGATTTGGGCTTTCTACTAGGCAGCTGACTGCTTTAATTCTGTCTAGTTGGAATTGCACTTGGTTTGAGTTTGCCAGTGGCCTGTACATTCTGGAAAAACTCTGGTTGCTGCTATGCGACAGCATAGGGAATAGTAAGCACATGCCCATAATTTTTCTTCATCTGTTTCTGCAGACTGAAAACGTTTGTTCTTAAGGAGATTATGTTGTAACACACATGGAATGTTTTAATGGCACCCAGTTATATTACAAGTTCTTGTTTGATTAGTTTTTCTGTTTTATTTAGTTTTGCATAGCTGAAAGCAAGGGCATGCCACCTGGGAGGAATGCAGAGAAATAGTTCAAGCAGCCAGAGATCAGCTTAGGGAAGTTAAAGCTCTGATAAAATTAAATCTGGCCAGGGATGTCAAGGGCAACATGGAAGGCTTTTTATAGGTATGTCAGTTATGAAAGGAAGACAGGAAAAAGAAACATGCCCTCCTTGGAAGGGAGACCTGTTTACATGGAATATGGGGAACTTTTTGCATCAGTCTTCATTGGCAAGCGCTCTAGCCACATGGCCTATGTCACAGAAGGCAAAGGCAGGGACTTCGGAGAATGAAGAACCTCCTACTTCTGGAGAAGATCAGGTTTGAGACCTTAATGTTCACAAGTTTGTGGGATCTGATGAGATGTATCCAGTAGTCTTGAGGGAGCTGACTGATGAAGTTTTGAAGTCACTATCCACCATATTTGAGAAGTCATGACAGTCCTATGAAGATCCCAGCGAGTGAAAAGGGAAACACAACCCCCTTGGTTTTAAAAAGCTAAAAAAGGAAGATCCAGGGAACTATAGGCCAGTTATCTCATCTCTGTGTCCTGCAAGACTGTGGAGCAGATCATCCTGGAAACTATGCCAAAAGACATAGAAAACAAAGACGTTTGGAGACAACCGACATGGCTTCACTAAGTTCAAATTGTGCCTGCCAAGTTTGGTGGCCTTCTGCAGCAGGGATACAGCATTTGTAGGTCAGGGAAGAGCAACTGGCATCATCTACCCAGATTAAGCAAAGCATTTGACACTGTCCCATGTAACATCCTTGTCTTTAAATTGGGGAGACGTGGATTTGGTGGATGAATAAAGAATTGGATGAGTAGTAGAACTCAGAGGTGTGGTCAACAGCTCGATGTCCAGGTGAAGAACATTGAGGAATGGTGTTCACCAGGGGTTTGTAATGGGATCAGCACTCTTTAATATCTTTATTCATTATATGGACAGTGGGATTGAGTGCACCTTCAGGTATGCTGATGACTCCAAGGTGCATGGTACAGTTGATATGCTGGAGGATAGGGATGCCATCCAGAATGACTTTGACTGGTTTAAGAGGTGGACCTGTGAAAACCCTATAAATTTCAACAAGGCTGTGTGCAAGGTCCTGCAGCTGCATCAGGGCATAAGCACAAATGCGGGTTGGGTAGAGAATGTATGAAGAGAAGGTCTTGGGAGTGCTTGAGCGTTGAGAAACTCAACATGGTTTGGCAATGTGCACTTAGAGTCCAGAAGGCTGACTCTATCCTGGGTGGCATTAAAGGAAGGGTGGCCAGCAGGAAAAGGGAGGTGACAAGCCCACTCTGATCTGCCCTCATGAAACCCCACTGGGAGTACTTCATCCAAACTCTCAGGCCCCACACACAAGATGTAAATGGAAATGTTGTATTGAGTCCTGAGAAGAACTACAAAGATGTTCAGAGGGATATGACACCTCTTCTATGAATGTAGGCTGGGATAGTTGCTATTTTTTAGCCTGGATAAAAGAAAGCTCCAGGGAGACTTTACGGTGAGCTTCCAGTACCTAAAGAGGGCCAACAGGAAAGCTGGACAGGGGCTCTTTATCAGGAACTATAGTAACAGGATGAGGAGTAATGGCTTTAAACTAAAAGAGGGCAGATTTGGATTGGATATTAGGAGGAAATTCTTTACTGTAAGAGTGGTGAGCTACTGAAACAAGTTGCTGAGAAAAGCTGTGGATGCCCCAATCCTTGAAATGCTTAAGGCGCTGTGGGATGGGATTCTGGGCACTTTGATGTAGTGAGGGGTGTCCCTGCTCATGGCAAGGGTTTGGAACTAGTTGGCCTTTGAAGTACTTTCCAACCCAAAGCATTCTATAAGTATGGAGCTTTTCAGCTTTTGCTCAATTGGAGATTTCAAATCGTTCATCACTAACATACCTTATCGTGGCAGAAGCTTGCTTATTTTAACAGTGATTTCAAGGTACAGTGCTGTCTTATTATAACATAACTCCAGTTATTTTTAATGTCATTGCAGGCAAAATGTTCCAGTCTCCAGATATCACTCTTATTGTAGAGTTCATATTTATGTTTTATAAGGAGAAACCAATTGATTGGCTTCTGGACCATATCCTCTGGGTGAAAGTGTGTAACCCTGAAAAAGATGCTGTAAGTTTCTTCTTATTGTGAAGCTTCTAAAATGTTTTAATGTTTGTGAATGTGCTGTTTCTGCTGAATTAAAGGCTAGCATACAATTTATCATGGTTACTGTGTGTTCTAAATTAATCTGTTTTCCTACTAAGATTTTAATCTCAGGTAAACCTTCAGGAACACATTTTTCAGAGGCATTATAATTGTTTTTGTTCTGGATTCTGGAGGTGGATGCAGTAGTTGGTGAAAGAAAAATGTTAGATTAGTTTTTATATGTAACAGTCCTGAAGTTAATTCGTTCTTGTAACCCCCACTATGGCTCTGTAGAATACTACTACTTGTATAGCAGTCATAGAGAAGATTCCAAATGGTGATTAAATTTAGATTTTTGGTCCTTTATTCCTGTAGTAGCTTCCTTGATGAAAGACTGAAGAAACAGGTTCTGTACAAAAACAGATGTAGATTTCTTCTTTATTGACTAGTATTATATTTGTACAGCAGTGTTGCTAGATTTCTAGAATAAAACCAAGATGAACAGGATAAATAGGTCTGGGTTTTTGTGAGTCTTTTCCGTTCATGTAACATGACGTCCTTGAGTAAAATCTCAGCAACTTTTTGTTGAATTTAACAATATGGGTTTTTATCCCTTCTCCTTTTGCTTTAGAAACATTGTGATCGGCAGAAATCAAACCTACGGATACGCTTCAGGCCTTCTCTCTTCCAGCATGTTGGCCTCCACTCCTCTCTGGCAGGAAAGATCCAGAAACTCACAGTTAGTAGCTACACTTCTCCTTCCTTTCCAGAACAAATTGATCTCGTGAATATTTTTTTTTTTCAGTCTTTGAGAAAAAAAGAGTTTTCTTGTTTAGTATTTTTTAACTATGTGTTATTCCAATTGGAATGAACCTGGTATAAACTGGTTACTATCAGGTATAAGAAATACCAATCTCAGCTTATTTTTATGAATATTTGCTAGTGAGAATATGCTTCAATTTTTTTTTATTTCTTTATTACTTTTTCTTTTTTTATTACTTTAATGGAATGCTCCTCTTATTACCTATTACAAGATCTGAAATATCTGGAAATGAGTGATGTATTTATTTTTTCTTTTTTTTTTTTTCTCTAGGAGTTCATTTTAAGTGTAACCACTTGAGAAAAACGTAATAAAACAGCATGATGTTTTTCTTTCTTTCAACTAGGATAAAGACTTTCTGAAACCGCTACTGCATAAAATCCACGTGAATCCACCTGCAGAGGTTTCCACATCTTTAAAAGTGTACCAGGGGCACACGTTAGAAAAAACATATGTAGGGGAAGACTTTTTCTGGGCTGTCACACCGGTTGCTGGGGATTATATTCTATTTAAATTTGACAAGCCTGTCAATGTAGAAAGGTTAGTAATTATTTGGTTTTGGTCTCATATCTAAGGCTGTATGCTTGCCAAGAATGCTTGACAATAGAATTGGGGGCTGTCGTAATAAACTAAAGTGAAATCATCCTGGTTTATTTGCAGTTTAGGTGAAACTGATCACGAGCAACTTTTCCTTCCAAGCCTTTACTGCTTTAAATGTTATTTTCCTCTTTATTTCTTCTTTTAATTTTACCTGGAGCCTTTTTGATAAATGCGATTCAAGACCAATGCTTCTATGGCAACTCATAAGGGAATCCAGAGAAGCCAATTTGGCTCTATTTGTACTTGGATGGTCTGCTTCTAATTACAATTTCAACTGTGCAGCGCAGTGTGTGGTACAGTATGTTGTGCCCTGCAGCCTCAGCCTCAGTGCATTGATTGTCCAGACCAGAAGTCTTGCTGGAGCATATGGTGTCCTTTTACCTGAAATTTGGGAACTCTAAAGGTTATTATTATTACTTTTTTTTCAGAATCTGCTTTAGGGCTTGGAAAAGAGTTAAAAGTTCAAGTTGACCTATGTAATTAATTTTAAAAATAGGCTTGAAATGAAAGTACCTGTGATTTGCTAGAGAGCTAGAGGTGACTATCTACTAGAGTTATTAGTCTTCCTTTACTTTTGCTGAGACTTTTTGCAGCTTTATTATTTACTGTCCTACCAACATAGTAGTCTAAGACTTAAAAATTATATTGCTTATGCAGTGTCCAAGCATTGCTACTTTACTGGATTCCTTTCACTTTTCTTCACATACCTTATATGCTTTTTTGAGGCCAGTACCTCTAGTACAGTAGAGAAGGTTTCTTTGGACGATTTGTCTGGATGCTTTTCTTGTGAAGGAGCCCTTTTTGCAGACCTGAACTGAATCCAGTTAGTCAACTTCTGCACATTGCTACGTAATCAAAGACTAAGTGAGGATCAGTAGTTTCCTTGTTCTATGTTTTTCAAGCTGGTCTGACCTATGAAACTCAAGTTTGTTGTGCAAGATGTCAGATTACTCTTTCAGTTGATTAGTGTGCTTTAAAAGATTTTCCTGGATAGCTTCTAAGAAGTGTGTGTTGAGGGGTTTGACTGCGATACTTCTTGGATTAAAAGCAGATTGTTTTTTTAATCCTAAGCCAATAGTATAAAAATGATACATTTTCCAAATGAAATGTATGAACTCATTGATTCCTTTTTGATCAAATTTTCTTCTTCAAGGTTATAAAGTGATCTTTGTCAAATTTGTTTTTATTTTCTGAATTATTTATTTTTTTAATTAAGAATTATATGCTTCTATTTTATAAATAGGGTAACTGTAGCAAGTAAATGTTGATCTTGGATGGAACATTGTTGTTTCATTAGGGTGAGTCAAGTACGTAATGACAGTTCTGTTAGCAACGGGACAAGTTGCTAGAGGAAGAGGGTAGATTTACACTAGAGATTAGGAAGGAATTCTTTACTATGAGGATGGTGAGACACTGAACAGGTTGCCCAGCAAGACTGTGGATGCCCCTTCCCTGAAAGCATTTAAGGTCAGGCTGGATGGGGCTTTGAGCAATGTGGTCTAGAGGGAGGTATTCCTGCCTATAGCAGGGGGGTTGGAACTAGGTGGTCTTAAAGGTCCCTTCCATTCTATGATTTTGTAAACTGTTGCTAGCAAGTGTAGTAGGTCATCCCTGTGGTTGGCAAGCACAGGTGTGAAGAAAATATGCATTTGGTGTGTATCACCATCGTGGTGAAGGAACTGGGGGTAAAAGTAAATGCTGATGATCTCTGCGAAAGATGGGAAGACAGTTATAATTATCGTGCTCTTAAAATTTGTAGCTAGGGCTAAGATTGTTAGAAGCAGTCCCAGCAGTAGAGGATTATATGATTATTTATTTTACTATTTTTACATATTGATGAAAGTAATTTTAGGTTAGATGAAGTGTTTTGAATCCAGTTGCTTCCTCAAAGGAAGTTCACAAGTTAGAATGATTTTATATTTTCAGACTTAAAAAACTAGGTATAGAGTCATTTGAACTGTCATTTTAGGCCATTTTGGTATTCATTCATTTGTGTTTCTTTGTCACAGAGTCATAAAAAATACAGTATTCTGCCTTTCTGCAGTCAGTAGCTGATCAGGGCTACAAACACTGTCATTTCAAATTGTTGAGGACTTGGTTTTGTTTGCCTACTTAAATTCCTCAGCAGCAGATTTTTGTAGATGAAAGTTGGGTAAAGAAATTGTGCTTCCTTATATTTCAGTGATGCTTTTTGAGGCAGCCAAATGTAAATCCGTGACAAGTGGGTTGAAAGACATGAAAGGGAAAGTGGACTGCACATCAGGAAAACTTGCCTGCTGGGAAGATAGATCCACAGCAATCAAGAGTAGAAGATACGCTTTTGAAAGCCATCTTGTGTTTGTGAAGGGACACAGCACATGCTGTTTGTGTTTTTAAAGTAGTAGAATAGCTCTTTGATTTTGTACAAATCGTTGTCTGCCAGGTGGGTTTGAGGCATAACTGCTTAATAACTCCAGTAATAAATCCTTGATAAACAAGCTTCTTAATGGAAATATTGACCACAACTGGCAGAATGAATGGCAGGTCTGTTACAGTGTGACAGAGTAGTAACTTGTTCCTAGAGTTTATTTTTCCATGCCAAACCTTTTTTGCAGAACTGAACTGAAATTTTGTGTTGAGTATAGCAATTCTGTAATTAACTGTCATCAAGCCTTTGAATACTTCATTTTTGAGACCTGAGAATATTGTCAGAGATGACAGAGGCAAGAATTTCTTAGTAACCTCGAGTGAGATCTGAACTCATGTAGTAGAGCAGCAAAGAACATTTGTAGCTGTTTTGTGTTAAACCTAGATGGCTTATCCCTGCTGAATGCTGAAAATCAGACATTGATTGTTCTAAACCACACCTGAAGAAGGAGAGAGGTGTATAAATTGAAACTGTCTAATGTTCATGTTAGTAACAGCTCTTACACCGAATCTTTTCAGTCATTTCCAAGTGAAAGATTTCCAGTCAGAACACTGAAGTCCCATGATAATAAGCTAAATTCTCATTCTTATTTTTGCAGTAATACAAAGATGCACACCACTGTTACAATAGCACGTCCTTCAGACTGAAAGTAGATCCACTGACTTTCTTACTAAGGAACAAATTGCTCACCACTGTGGGAGGTTTATTTTTTTCAAATGGATGGACTACTTTCTGAATAAATGTAGGCTCAAAACAGCCTACATTGTAAAGACAAGAAATACTGCATTTCTTTTCCTTTAGGTCACTAGATAATTATGAAAATTCACTTTGCTATTTCATTATATACTGTTGTTCCAGTCTCACTTAGTTATTAAAGCCCATATTTAAAAGTTACATTATGATATTCACATTACTACTATTTGAATTTACATTAAGCACTAGCATTAATTCTGGTTACTATAAATAACTATAAATATTACTTTTCTTTGCCAGTTACCCTGTTTCTTCAGAGAGGTTAGTGATGGGTGTTGAGCCCAAGGAGCTCGTTGTGAAGAGCTTTGGACACTGGAATTTGTTCTTTGAAAATACCAAGTAATACCAAGGAAGCCTTTGGAACTACCAATGGACATTTTGTTTAGATCATCCTGTCTATATAACTGCTTAGCAGTGTTAGGGTATTTTCAAAAGGATTAGCAGAACTTGTGTTTTCTTGGGTTTTGTGTGTAGATTTCTTGTTTTTACACTCCTCTGCTTTTAACTCCAGTTGCCTCATAGCAGTGGCCTTGTTTTTAACAAGTTATTGGGTAGTCCTCAAAACATGCCGTTGATGGTTAATAAAGTGGTTTTATGAGGTGGACACTGCTCTCTGCCATTTCATCTTTAAGCTAGAATCTTGATAGTTGGACAGATCTGCTTGTGGATTACATTTACTACTTTGTATTCTGATGTTGGCATAGCCACTTGAGGTGCAGTATTTGAGAATAACGATCCAGTTTTCTCTGCTGTTGACGCTGGGATCCCAGGGAAGGAACACGTGCTGTTAACCTTGTATGTCCTGTGGTAGCTTCTCATAATGTAGATATCTCGCGTCAGTGGGAATGATGTATTTGATTGTTTAAACTTGAAACTTATTGTATTGTGTATTGTCTGGCAGCTGATAACCAAACATAATGAGTTACTTTGCTTTGAAATTATTGTGACAGTGCTGAAAATTACTTATTTAAAAAGTGATGGCTGCTGTCCTGCTATTAAGCACACATTGTTATAGTGGAAGAGCAGCACAGCTTTAAAAGCTGTTCATTGTAAAAGCAAGCTCTCCCTCAGCATGGTGCAATACATCCTGCCTTTCCTGTGCAGTTCTAGCTGACATAACACATGCACACAACTGCACAGTGCACAGTTTAGAAATCATCTGTATTCTAAACGCGTAGTTATAGAAAAGGTTATTAAAATGTAACTTACTATCATTTTTTAAGCTTTAATTCTGATATCAGTTGGTAGGAAATATTTAGAAGTCTGATAAAGTTATTGAAGTTTTAGTGCTTCAGAGCATTTCAGTTGGGCTAATGTTTTCAATGTGGGAGGGTGGGGGGAAAAAAAAGAAAAAGAGGAATTGAGGACTTGGTTTCTGTGTTTATATAAGCTTCTGTACTAATGAGTAGAACATCCTCAAATGGATACACTGACAGCAGGGACTTGGCAGGCAGGCTCCCAGCCACTGATGCCGGTTGCTCCGAGCATGGAACTCTGCCTGCAATGATGAGGCAAGTGCTTCATCTGAAAAGAAAAGAAAGCATGGATCAGAGACAGAAGAAAAGAGCTGCCTGAGCCAAGGACATGCTGCTTCCTCCTTAATGGCACTAATGCTCCAGATTTGTGTGTTTGGCAGTGTTCCTGGGCTTACTGTTCTTGGTCAGAAATATTGAGAGGCTTAATGCAGTTGCCTGAATGTTAGGTGTCTAATGTGATACTCTAAATTACTTAATTTGATTTCCCAAAGGGCTTGAGTGTCTGATATGTCATAATTGCATCCGGCATCCTGTGAGGTTGCCCACACCCAAGTGCATCTCAAATGTTAGCAAATGCCAGTGTTTAAGAAAACTAACTGGAGCACTTCTGGAGAAGTGTGTGTGAGCGTGTGTGTCTGTATGAGGCCTACTATGAAAGTAATGCCTCCTACGTTATGATGTTGGCTCATCATGCCAGAAGCAGATGTTGGTGGGATGGCAGTGGAAGTTGATCCTTCCCAAGAATATTCCATTACATGCTGTTGTCACGTGAGAGATGGCAGCAGAGGGGTGGTCTGACACTATGGTGGCTGACGTGAAAGTGCGGATGGAGCAAAAGTGTTTGCAAAGGAATGGATAAGTGACCTAAAGGATAGGAAAGAAAACGGAACGTGGAAAAGAAGTTATTAATCTTCCTTTTATATTTTATACAAGAAAAACATGGAAAGTAATGCACAGTCAATGCATGTTTCCAGTAACAGTGAAAATAACATTTCCTAATGAGGGTTCTGGGAAAATGACAGAGTGGGGTTAGATTAGATTTCTTTTACCCTGTTTGCATCCAGAGACCAAAAAGACAGGATGGATTTGGTGGATAATAACTCTTGTAGAGGTGACAATATTTGTGGAGAGCCCAAACCTTGCTGACTGACTGTTACTTTCATAGACATTTGCACTATGCAGAGTTAATAACTGGTATGTTCCCTGGTGCTGGGGTACAATTTGTGCAAATGTGGAAGGAAACGTTTCCCCTCTGCCTTCCTCTCTCTCTTCCTTTCTCTGAAAATGGAATATACAAAGGTATATCAAATTGCTAAACAGAGACACGGGAAAGCACAGAGAAAAAGATTTGATTCCTGTTATTTACAGAAGACAAAGGCCTACATTCATAAATAGATTCCTAGAATATTTGTGTTGAGCATCAAGTGAGATGAGTCTGTTTTCTTCAAAACAAAAAATGCATTGGCAGTGGCTGTGAATTTCGAATTTTTAAGATTTTTCTTGTATTATTTCCTTTCATAAAGCTGCTGTTTACTGATAAGCTTCTAGTGTTCTGATCTATGCTCTCTTTGTAATGGCTCAACAAAACAGAAGATGCATAGAGTTGCACGTTGTGTTTAAAAAAATGGGAATGCCAATGATTCTAGTTTTTAATAAAGTATAAGAGACAGTGAGACAGACTTCTGAGTGCCTGAATAGAAACAAATCTGGAAATTTAGACTCAGTTCTCTGAGTCTCAGTGTGTGGGAAAGAAGATAGGGACATCCGCTCCATAAGCAAAATACAAAGAGAGTGAAGAGTTGAAGTTAGCTTAGCACACTGCTGGCTCATGGCCAACCTGTCGTCTACCAGGACACCCAGGTCCCTCTCTGCAGAGCTCCTCTCCAGCAGCTCATCCCCTAACCTGTACCGGTTTGACCTCAACCTCTTCAAATTAAAGGGAGTCTGACAGTGAAAAAGGTTCTCTGAAGTTGAGGTACATTGGTATTTCATTCACTAGTTGTGAGTCAGAGTTGCCTTTTGCTGATCATTTCCATCAAGAATGTCCAAGTTGCCCACCTGCGTTTTGGAATTAAAGCAGACTATGAAGTAATGTTCTACAAGACAACTGTGGTGTTTTATAACTTCAGGTTAATATGCATTTGCTTGGATTATTATACTTAACAGGCCTGTGGCTTTCAGAATTCTAATTTGAAAGAATGTTTCAGAAGGCATTATGTTTAAGTAACAAATAGACAAAAATGTTTTTGATTCCATCATAGGGAAAAATATCAGCTAAACAAAGTGGAGAAAAAAAGGCGCTTGCTTTTTAGTATTTCCGAGGGCTGTTGCCTATAAATCCCAGGTCAGATGTCAGAATGCCTTAACCAAAAGCACAGCAACTTTAGTGGCTTTCTGTCTCCAGAAAAACATTCTGTAGCCTTGAAAGCTTGTGATTTATCAGTGTGTCAAGGAAAGGAGCTTCATAAAAGAACAGCTAATTGAGGTTGCTTTTAGGAGCTGTAGAACAGCCGCTCATTTGTAAATTAAATGTTATTTCAAAGTGAATTTTGTAATTCATAAACTGTATTTCTAAGCAGAAGATTGATTATAGATATGAGCTGTGTTATGTGCATTCATGCTTCTATTTTTCGTATCTGTGCAACTGCTGTCAGAGTAGGTGTTATCTGACAAGTGTTCAGGCAGGGCTTAGATACAAAAATATCCCTTCTGTTCTAAACATAATCTTAAATAAGATGTGACATATGCATATGTTATATGTATGTGCATATGATAGACAGATATAGAAAACAGACTGAAAAAAGTGGGCTTGATTACGGAGAAATAGTTTTCATTACTTCCCATAATGGTTTCAGCATCTTGCCAGCTTTTAAGCTTGATGCCTTCCTGGCATGGTAAGATCTGGGACTGGGGCAGAAACCCCACCTGAGTTTCAGAAGTCAGCACAGTAGGAGAAATGGCTGCTGTGGCAGTAGGGCTGCTCTTGAAACAAAACAGAACCCAACCACTGCTTCCCCCAACACAGACCACCTCCGCAGTGTTGTCTTCCACTGGGAGCTCACGATCACAGAGGTGCACACAAGTACATGCAGTGTTGGAGCTGACCAAACCTAGTTGTCTTGCAGTTCAGTGTGGGAAGTTCTGCTGAAATCAGTGCAATGGGGATCAGTGTAGCTTTCTGAGACCTGAGTGTATGATTTTGACTCTGCTGAGCCTTGATAAATGCTACCTGCCTCTGTGTGTTAGTGTGTTTTTAAATTAATTCCTATTAGCTTATTGCCACAGACATTTCTAATTCGGGGTCAAAGGGCTCTGTTCTCCTTCTTGACTTGTAGCTATAGAGTGTGGATTAATGGCAAGTATTTACCTAGCTTTAGACATACTGGATAAAGACAATCTGGAATTGACATCTGCAATTATGTCTTAATAAATTGCAAGTGGAGCTAATGTTTGTAATTTTAATCAAGTGATAATTTCTGAACTAATTTTGTCCCTGGCTGGTGATGTGTTTAATGTGGAAGGTAGTGCTTAATGTTTATTTCTCTAGTTTCCAATTGAGGGAAGGTTTGAAATGTGTAGATAGATTTTTTACATATTCATTTGAATGTATTAACAATAAATTAGGCTTGTTAAAAGCGTCTTTTGGGTAGGTGTAATATACAAGCAGTTTTCAGACAGTAATCTGAACAAACACCTCTGTGATCCCCTAGAAAAAAATAAGAATGAGCAACTTTTCAAGCGTTGATACCACCTAGTGGTAATAAATATTGTTACTTATTTACTTATGTATGTCTATTTGGTATCAAGAGGTATGAAGTTTGTGTTTATACATAAAGAAAGAGAAATTAAAGCCTGTCTTTTGTAACTGGCTATCTACAGGTGTGTAATACTGAAAAAACTGTTGGAGAGGGGGTAATTAGAATTCTAAGATTTGCACTTCACTACTTAAAAATATTAGGGAAGGTTTTGGGTACAGTTTAAAATGTATTTGTTCTTTTGCATTACAAAAAATCATTCATTACTCATCTGAATGAGGTTAATGGGGACTTTCTACAGGTATGTAATATAATAGTCCTCTGTACATTTAAAAATAAACAACCCCACAACACACAATTATGTTAACAAAGAAAAAAAATATAGAGATATTGAAATAATAATCTGTCTCTGGAATAGAAGTTTGAATTCAGATATCATTAATGTATTGGCTGGGAGTTCCTGGCAGAGTTGTTAATGAGGCTGTGCAAAGAACCAGAGCAGAGGTCAGGTCTCAGAGAAAACTAATCTGGCAAGAGTCCATGCAGATACGTTTCCTGACCTGGTTCAGAATAGATCTGCAGAGTTCATTCTGGTGGCACAAGAATGGGCTGGCCTGACCAGACATGGGAAGCAAAGGAGAGAGGTTGGAAGTGATGCCAGCGCGTACCTGGCAATAGTTACAGTGTTGGCTTCTTTGTGTAATGCAATGGGTAGAGACCAGATCTAGGGATCTTCCTAGTAAAACGTTACTCAACTGCTCTGTAACAAGTGCAAAAATTTTAGCTAGCCCTTTCTATTACAGTAGTATTTGAAACCATCTTTCACTTTTTCAGTCATCAATTGATGTAGGTCTAGTGTAAAATTAGTGTTTATTATTATAACTCAGATAAAGTGTTTAGTAATACATAAGGTGGTAACATAGCTATTGATTGATTGATGGTTGATATATGTAGACTCTCTTATGTTTCCTTTTTATTTTATAGGTACTTGTTCCACAGTGGCAATCCAGAGCATCCAGGAGATATACTGCTAAACACAACCGTGGAAGTTTTGCCTTTTCAGGTATGAATACATTGATTTGTTTCTCCTTCATTATAGGATAAAAGCAAAGCCTCATAATTGTATTGACTTCCCTTTTTTAACAGAGTAAGACAGACAAGATGGTTTCTTTTCTAACTGCAGCCTTTTGATGCTTGTACTTTTTTTAAGATTGGCTCTGTTCACAGAAAATTATTGGAACTATTCACATAATTCCTTTAGAACGCAGCCTGCTACAAGTATTGATGGTAATTTGGAGGTGAACAACTTCGTTTTCTTCCAATTCACTGTTACTATTTAAAACAAAAAATAACCAAATAATCTGCCCTTTCCTGTGTGTTTTGGAAAAGGAGAAAGCTAAATCAGTCTCCTTTTTGACCTAGTTAAGAAAAAAAAAGACAACTTGGTTCAGGAATTGACATATATCCAGACCTGATCACAAATCCTTACAGATTTTTCAGTATCTGGATTCCCAGACTAAATCTGTGTCTTTCTCTTGATGACCTAATTTTTTCCACCATAAATCAGTCTGAATTTTATTTCAGGGGATCACTCTACTGTCTAAAATATATTCTAGCTTGAAGCCAGACGATACAGGCTCTTTTTCTTCAATTGGATATTACACCTAATCATTTATATCAGAAAACTCTGGGAATGGTTTAGGATATTACTTAAAACAAATTTGTTTTATAGGGTATTAAAATAGCTAAGTATGTCTGTCTTCTCCCATACCAACAATGCAGGCTTCTTGAAATCTATTTTTTATGTGCCATATTCCAAATTAAAAAAAACCCAAAACATTAATAAGTAAATGATCATGGAGGGATTGTATAGTGCCAAAAACTAGATTGGATTGGTCTGGGACTTGGAAGGAGGGGAAACAAATAGTAGATGGACTTAATGTCCTGTGTCCTGTGCCTGTCAAGAAATTGTAACTGATTCCTGGGAAATTCCTATAGTATTGGGTTGTGTGATTCTGGTTGTAATTTTCAGGCTGTTTTTGAAGCTCTGGTGTACAGTTGTTTTTTTTCTGTGCTTATGAAAGAAGCTTATTGGTATCCACCCTTTTCGGTAAGGCAGTGATAATTGAAATGCTTCCCTTGCTGGTCTGAAGACTTTCCATTTTACCCAAATTCTTATATTAAAAAAAATGAGCTGTAAGTTTAATTTGGCCTAAGAGAAACCTCTGGCTCAACCATAGGAAAACAAGGCAAGATTTTGCTTTTGCTTTTCTTTTTCTGTGTGCACTCCTGTCTGCTATGTATTTTGTTCATGTGGCAGTTGACGTATCAGTGAGGTGGGGCACTTGAACTACTTCCTTCTTCTACTTTGAAGCCAAATACAGCTCTATTCTGGAGTACTTATATTTGCGTTGGCTGACCAAAGGCTATAAATAACTATTCTATACTGGCTTATAATTTATTTAGAGAAGCTGGATGCTGGATATATAACAAGTGCGTACAAATTTGGCCTTCCTTGGCAATGTCGTATGTGAAAAAGTAAATAAACTTATCTGTGCTTTGTTATTGTAGAATGAAGAACTGGTGTTAAGCAAAGAAACCAAAGACAAACGCTTAGAGGATGGTTACTTCAGAATAGGTATGCCACAGACAGCAGTGCTTTTTTCTTACTCATATAGAATGCCATGTGTTTTGTTACTACTGCAACCAATAAGATACTTTAGAACCAAACCAAACCTATATCTGGGTTTTGTTCTTCATTTTGGATGTGTGACCTTTTAGACTTTAGTTAACATTGCTTCCAGTATATATTCTTTGAGATTGATGTACTAAACAAAGGCCTATTGTGACTGCTAACTGTAGTGCAGCCATGCCCAACTTCTCTGCCAGAATACACCAACCTACATCACCATTGAGGCATCTCCAGGTTGCATAAAATCCTCTCTCATGTCCTGTGGCTGCATGAGTCCCTCCCAGTGAGCTGCTGTCAACTCGAATTGCTCGAGTGCCTGTCAACAGGGGCTGGGGTTTGAACCAACCCTACAGTCAGACAATCAACCCTTTTGTCATGGGATGAGATTGGCATTTCTGTAACCAAATGACTGCTGGGGAAAGGGGCAGGAAATGGCAGGATACCTGTTGTCAAGAAAAAGAAATGTTGCTTGTGGATCAGGTTTGGATACTTTTTGATCCAACTTTTTTTATACTGTGTTTGATATAGGCTGGACTTCCCAGTTATAAAGAAAGCAATTTTTTTTCATCTTAATGAATTACAGTTGATGCACTTACATTTCAGGTGTAAATTCTAACTGGGCTTTTAATCTGGATTCTTACTAATTGTATTAAATATATTTACTAATATATTTAATATTACTACTTATATTATTATTAATAATAATATATTAATATTACTAACTAATTTAGTAAATATATTTAAAGATTCTTTAAATGGGAGTACATTAAGCATGAATATGCTCAATGCTCTCTGAACACACATAAGCCAGGGGCTTCATATGTAGGTCCATAATATTACATGAAAATCTGTGCTAAAATCCCCTATGATCTTCAGGGGTGCTCATAGTACAGACAGTTCAAAAGTTCTGATTCTTTAGCGTAATCCTGTTCAGATCTGGCTTCTCTGATGACATCTCCTGTCTTGACTGCTGCTACAGTATCAGCAAATTGATACCAAAACATTGGCTGTTTTCTGTTTTGGGAAATAATAGAATCATAGAATGGCTTGGGTTGGAAGAGACCTTAAGGGTCATCAATATCCAACCCCCCTACTGTAGGCAGGGGCGCCAACCTCCATATCTAATACTGGACCATGATACTAATGATACCAGTCAGCCCTGCATTCAGCAGCACCCGGTATCAGCTGTGAATTGTGATATTGTAGATGCATTTTTTGGACATAGAGTCTGTGCTTTGTTGACTAGAAGTTAATTGAGGGTATGCTTTCACTTCTGTTACAGGGAAATTCGAAAACGGTGTTGCTGAAGGAATGGTTGACCCCAGCCTAAACCCTATTTCATCATTCCGGCTTTCAGTAATACAAAATTCAGCAGTCTGGGCAATTCTGAATGAGGTGAGAGATGGTATAATCTTCTAAAAATAAAAACTGCAAATGTGAGATTTCTTATTCTTTCGGTGTGTTTGAAGCTCAAAATTTTGGCTAGCACTGAAAACAGTTCCTTCCTATTACTGAGAGAACTGCAATCTCCTTAAAATGTAATGGCCTTTTTTTCTGCTTTTCTGTTTCAGATTCATATTAAAAAGATGACAAACTGATCAGTGAAATCCCCATTAGAGGGATAAGAAGGAATCCTTGAAAACTTTTCCTATGAAATCTGACATCCTTAGCAAGTCACAAATTGAAAATACTGAGCATGCACCTTATTCCAAATTTTTCATTTTCACTTGAACTCTACCTCTCGTGAAATCTACTGTAGATGAGAAGATTGTATTTACCCCTTCTTATCTGAACCATCCAGAAACTGATGCTCCACACTGATAACGTTCATCTGAGGCCTCAGTTGCCCTCCACTTCAACGTGACTTTGCCATCTTACAGCTGCAGAACCCTGCTATGCTTAATCTGTACTATTTTGATAGTATAGTAATATAGAGAAGTTGTACATATTGTTACATTCCTGAAAGAAGAAAAATATATAATTATTGTTAAATATGTTTTATGAAGGGGGTACTTTCGGAGTTTCATTTATTTTCTATAACAAGAACCCTCTTTTATAGATTGTCAGGGATATATATTAAAAATGTTAGGGAGGTTTAATTTATTAAAATAATTTGAAAAGTACATATTTTTATGCAGTAAAGTTTTAAATTGATATAGTTTTTCTTATGAATTCTCTAGTTTAAGTTATCTTTCTACATTTTTCTTTGCAGATGCAAACATAAATTAATACCATATTTCAAATATACTGCCATGTTACAAACAAAAACAACCAGTTTAAGTTTCTAAATTATGTAGTTTTGTACACAGAATTTGAATTATGTTCAGAGGCACTTATCAGAGTTCTGAAGAGGATTCTTCTTTGGAACAATGAAATTCCACTCTGTACAGTTTGTAGCCACATGAAGAGCATGTTGAAATATCTTATTTCATATTATGTACCAAATCTGCAGTGATTTTAGATACAATAATCCATTGCATTTTAGAAGAGTTTTTCAATTCCAAACTGTTCTTTCTATAAAAAAAAGAAAAAAAAAGAAGAAAAAAAAAGGAAAAAAAGGAAAAAAAAACAACAAAACTTTTTAGGCATTTCTTAGCCTGGACAAATTCATTTTCTGTACTAAAAAAAGTATTCCCCAGCTCTGCTTTTGGAATGACAAGAGATTAACTTCTTTCAAAAGAGTTAATAGTAACTAGATATACTTGATCTACAGAGATCTTTCAAGGAGTTACTGCAGTGTTTGTTTTTCTTTTTTGATACATCACAGTGAGTAGTTCTGGTTTATTTATATTTTCTTCCATTGTTCAAAAGTAAGGTTTTGGATTGACTCCTTTAGTGATCAGTGTAAGAACTTGCTCTTACTGAGATAAAAAGTGAATTGGGTCCCTAATAAGAAGTTAGTTAGTGCCCTGCATTTTTGTTGCAAAGGAAACAACAGTGATCTTAAACTAAAAACTCTGTCAGGAAAAGGGGTTTGGATTAAATTCAGAGTGGAATTGTTGGAGCACTAATGCTGCCACTGTTCTTAGGAGTCCTTCAGCTTAGGTGAAGGTGCTTGTGACACAGATGTGGGAAGATTTAAGTTACCTGGTCAGAGATGGTCAGGAAGAAGCAGCAGGATTTCCTCTCCAGTAGGAATGAAGTGCCTGATTGATGCTGGAGGGAGGCCTCTCCCTGGCCTGGGGATTCTCAGCCGTGCTGCAAAGCAGCCTTCTGGAACGGATGTCGCAAAAGCTGGTGCAGTTTTCCTTATGAGGAGGAGCTCCCTCATCCCCAGCAACACTGTGGTCTGGGCACAGACATGCAAAGCCTGCTGCAGGGTCTGTATTCTAGAGTGAAGATCTTGCATTCATGTCTCTAGCAGGAAAGTTCTAAGAGGTTTGGCCTCTTTTTCGTGGCCTACTGTTAAGGAGCAGGAGCCTAGACCTGACTTCAGCATTGCAAGCTAAGAGCTGTTACCACTGGGATACAGAGTCAACTTGTCTTTTCTTCTGCCTCCTTGATCAGTTGTGTTGTAGCCTAGCCAGAGCAGCAGTACTCAAGTTGGTAAGCAGAACTACTTCTACAGACCAGTAATTTTGTTCTAGCTATGTTGTCTGAGGGTGCAGGGAAGATATGATTTGTACATAGAAGCCCTGCGTAGATGGACAAGTTTAAGTTGAAAAAATAAGAAACCTATCAGGCAAACCTTGTTTGCTTTTTTTTCTGATTATATCAGCTGCTGTAAATAAAAGTGAGGAAGGTTGGCTCAAAATTCTACCTTAATCTAGCCTGTTGTGCTGCCATATTCCAATCTGTTGTATGTACAGTGTCATTCCATCAAAGTATTAGCCTGCAGTGGCTTTGTATCACACATTAACTGGCACAGGTCTAAAGAAGTAGGTTTTCTTCTGAGCTGTGTCTGCAAATGAATGATGCAGACAAAGTAGGCTTTAGCTACTTACTATGGTTTTGATTGCAGAAATACATAAAGTACTGTAGTTTCTTAAAATAAGTTGTTTTGTTGATAGTAACTTTTATCTTTTTCCACGAGTTCCTACATTCATTGGTACCATTTATTGATGATGTGCTTCCTGTCAAAGCATTGCTGTTTCCAATGTTTCACAGTTGTTAAGATGAATCATTGACAATAGATGTAGTTAGATAAATCCCTTACAACATTCACTACCAAACTAGGGGGTTACCAGTACATTTAGTTCCCAAGACCATCAAGATGACATTTATCAAAAGCAACAAATTAACTAGTGCTTGATAAAGCATAGAGGTTTTGCTTTTGTTTCTTCTTAAAGATTGCATTGTATCAGCAGGAGTTGGGCTCCCTGAATGCTTATGATCTTCTTCAGCTTATATATTTTTGCAATAATTGTGCCACAAATGAAGTTTGGTAGATTCAGGTAAATTCAGACCTGTCAGGAAGTTCTGCAATATTGCTTGGAAATTATCACTACAGAGCTATTTTGGGCTTTCAGACTTCCAAATTCTAATCCTCAAGTTGGTCTAATGAAGTGCAAGTCTCCTCCCTGGAATTACTGCTGAAATAAGAATGCTTTGGCTGCTTGGTTCAACAGTCACTGCCTCAGGTACTCTGGGTATGTTCCAGATGGGCCGTGTATCTTACATGTGTCATAAGTTAAATTATTACCACAAGATTCCTCTCAGCATTTTAAACCAATTACCTGATTTGGACAGAGTTGTTTTCCTACATTTAATTCCCTTTTTTTTTTTTTACCCTGTAGGTCAGTGAATCTTATAGTAAACAAATAATGACAAATGTTTCAAAATAAACCATTATCCTAAGACCCTATTAGCTGCTTCAGAAAAGATGACTTGAACTCAAGGTCATTAACAGAAAAAATCCTTTTTTGGTTGAATTATTCTTAGTGTCATGTATTGGATGCAAGCAGAGCAGCTGATCAGAGCACCAGCTCTTTGGAGCTGATCATGGTTGTTCTGGACCAAGGAAATATAAAACTCTCAGTATAATCTTGCAGTGCACGATTCGTGGGTAGTCCTACTGAAAACAAAGTAATGTGAACAGAATCCCATTAGCAGTTTAATTTTTCTAAAATAACTGTTTAATTCTTGTGCTTTCGTAGGCATCCTAACAATTTGTTGGTAGTGATAGAAGATATTCCTAAAGGCACGTTGATTCTTCCTTAACTAAAACGAGGTTTAGGAAAATTACCTATCAGACTCATGGGCCAGTGGAAGGCTGCACTCTTCTGTCACACGTTCTAGCTCTTCTGAAAGAAACTATTTTAAAGTATCTTGAGTCAGTCAAGAGCAAAGCAAGTTACACTTGACCCATATAATATAAATCATTCCTTGAACGGGCTGGAGTGTAGTTGGTGTTTGGCAAAATCAAATGACAATGTAACATTTTTCCTTTTTTTTTTTAAAATATGTGTTATTTCAATAGTGGGATTCTTTTGTTGTTGGAAATGCTTGCTGCAAATGAAGTGTTGTAGTAATTTGTAGGTTGCTTCCAACTTGGCAGAATATTGTTTTAATTTCATGGAAAAGAAAAATCTGATTTTTCAAACCTTGTCCCTCTGCAATACATCGACCTTGAGTTTTATATTTGTCCTTACAAGGAGGGATGTGTTCTGAACTAGTGAAGGCAAGGAACTGTAGTAGAAGGAAGAAAAAGCCCTATGCTTTCTGTCTTTATGGTCACCAGTGTAATGCTGAAAGGCTTTTAAGCAGCTGGTGTTTTCAGGCTAGCACCAATTGCTGATATAAAAACACACCCCATGCAGACATAATGAATTATTCTTTGAGTGTTTTAGTTCTAAGGGTTTTGCTGATTTCTGCTGTGAACTGTGAGCAGCTACAACTTCAAGTAGCTTAATTGTGAGAACTATGAAGCCTTGTTTTGAGGGGATGAACTCTGAAGGCAAGGTACACAGGCCCCAAGTCCTCCATTGATTTCAATGGTATCGTACCAGAGGGCGCCAATATGAAGAATTTTCAGTGTTGAACTGCAGCGGTGCTAGGATTCCTTTTAGGGAACGTAGTGCAGTAAGGCCGTAGCTGCCTGCAGGACGGGAGCTCGTTTGCCAGGGCAGCCTGGAATCCTTAGCCTTCCTTGTGTCAGCGGTTCAGTGCTTTCCTTGTTCAAAGGGGAACGTTGCTCAGTGGCTGCTGAGGGGGGAACACAATTCTCTTCAAGCCTTAACAGTGGCTGAAACACACAGTACTGTAAGATGCACTGCCAGCATATTTGGTATTTTAAGATAAGATATAGTTTTTCCTTAGAGATCGAATTCTAGTATTGAAATACAAAGTCTTACTGTATGCAGTTTACTCTTGCATTGTTTTTGAAACTGAATCCTAGTGCTCACGTTTCATATTGAACACAGTCTTAGGGAAGTCATCATCTTCATTTTCCAGAAGGTGTTGTTTGTGATGGTCAGTTTATTCTGCCTTGTGGACTTCACAGCTGTAGGCATTGCCATAAGCCTGTGTGGCCAAATTAACTTGTACTTTCCTTCCATTTTCACTAACATCCCACTTGTAATAGTGGATGTAATAATACCCATTGGACTTCTCTAGATTAGATTAAAAAACTTGCTGCTATATTTGGAAACCTGGTATGGGGTCATGGTAATCGTGCCTTGCATCAATGTTACTTCTGTGTGCCAGCATTGTCTGTGTATATTTGAAATTACCATTACAATAAAACGACCTAAAGTTCTTTCATAAAAGGAGAGGACAGTTCTCCACCTGGAGCCAGATGTTGCTTTACCACTGCAACAGTATTAACAACACTTCTACTTTCATGCAGTCCCAAGGCAAGGTGTTCCAATATTATTCTTATATCAAAATGCTCTTTGGTGTCACTTAAAACCCATGTAATGTAGAGCTTATGCCAGTATGTGCAAAATAGCTGCAGTAAGAGTTATGCTACATAGACTTGTTGCAGTTAAGTTACAGATGTACAATTGTTTGTAGGAATGTACTGCAAAAGTATTTGAACAAAATTGCTAACATGTTTACTGGTGTAAATATTTTAATAAAAAAAAGACACTTCAAACTTTTTTTTTTTTTACACAATTATCTACAATAAAGAGAAATTTACAACCATTTACAATCAGTTCTTAACTGTTTTTTTTTGCCATCAAGACAGCTAAGATAAAGCAAAAATAATCAGTAGATAAATGAAGTCCTGTTTTTATTTCACTCTGTACTTATAAAAGGAACAAAGCATCTTGGTGAAGTTCCATCCGCATGCTAATGAGATCAAATAGAGCACAATGAGAAGAGCAAATGGATACAGAAGGATAGCTGTGTTCTTCAGAAAGGGCAATGCTGAAAAAGAGGCAAAAGTGAAGCACGTGTAAAGGAGTGCTCTTTCAAACAGGTGCTTCATCGAGAAGGGCCTTGAGGAGAGACAAAATAGTACTGCTCTGCTGTCCTATTAGCCCTGTGCTGATCGCAGATATAAGAGAACTTGAGTTAAGTGGGATAGGTAAAGTCACCTACAAATACAGACTTAACCTCAATACAAACTTTTATCCTATGTTTTGAAGTGGATTTACAGAAGAAAAACAAGTTGAGATGTTACAGGTCTCCAAGTACAAGCTGCTATGGTGAAAAATATAAATTCTGTTGTTTACCCTTATGAAAACATCCATTGGGTGCATGTTTGTCAAACTGACACACAGACTAAAATAATGCTTTTTCTTTCAGTCCTACAGAAAAAGTTGCCATTACTTACCACTGTATCCAAGGAATGTCACATAGATATAATAGCCAATTGCAATCAGCCATAATGTGTTCCCAACAAAATATCCAATGACTGAATTAGGTATGATGACATCTGAAAGAGAAAAATTGCTCTCAACTGCTGTGATAGATGACTTCATTGGAGAGAAGACAAAATCTTTTACTTACAGTTGATGAAAAACAGCTGGATAAAATGCAAAATGACCAGGAGTGGATAGAAAGCATTCAGATGAACGTCAAAGGCATATCCCCACTCCACATCATAGTCTCTGTTCTGCTGCTTTACCAAGTACTTGTTAGAAATGAACCTAGGTGCGAAGATAAGTGAAAATGTGGTTAATGTGAAGCTCTGAATTTGACTGACAAAACACCCGTATAAGACAGCAAGCTAACTCTCAGATCCTAACTCTGATGCTTCTGCTCTGGGAGAGAAAGATACTTAGTAATTATGCAAGCCAAACTGACCTCAGAACACTTTTGTTAAAACTCTGACTTCAATATTTGCATTCAACAGGTATCTGAAAGGCACTGCAGGTAACAAATGCCATAACTCTTCCTTTAAATGGTTCAGTGGCAGAATTTATCAGTGCAATTGCACGTTGGCTATTGCAGAACCAATGTCACCAGTGTTTTTGACTATAGAACAAACCTCAAGTCCTTATATTTAATTCAGTGTAAGATCTGCTGATGTCAGAAAATAGATGCTGTTTAGAAGCAGAACAAACTCCATGTGCTTACAAACAAGAGAGCGGATCTTTCAGGGTAACTTCCTCTGAAATTTCTTTATGCCAGCAGAAGAGTCAGAAGGAGGCAGATACTGGATGCAGGGTAAGGTGAGGCAAGAAGGCCCTCAGATTCATTGTGAACAGGGGAAACTTTTGCAAAAAAAGGCAAGCATGTGCAGGACGAAGAGACTTGAAGCAAGGCAGAAGAATTAAGATTCCTTTCTGATCACCGAGTTCTTGATTTGGAATTATTGTTTAAGTCCAACCAGGATAAGGAGAAAAACTTTAATGTTCACTAGAATACAGCCTTTCTACTGATGAACCTTGTAACAGGAACCAGTAAAGAAAAAGATGATTTTTTTAAAGCAACGTATCATAGAGTCATGTTTGGAAAAGACAGCTAAAATAATCCAGTCCAACAATCAATGGCCCCAAACTTACAGTCAGCATAGCCCATCAGTGTCCCAACAGTAGCACTGAACTCCGAGGGGAAATGGTTTAAACTGGAAGAGGGTAGATTTAAACTAGATATCAGGAAGAAATTCTTTACTGTGAGGGTGGTGAGACACTGGAATGGGTTGCCCAGAGAGGTTGTGGCTGGCCCCTCTGTGGAAGCATTCAAGGCAAGGCTGAATGGGCTTTGAGCAACCTGGTCTAGTGAGAGGTGTGCATCTCTAGAGCAGGGTTTGGAACTAGATGATCTTAAAAGTCCTTTCCAATCCAAACCATTTTATGATTCTATGACTACTTACCACATCAGTGTTGCTATCAGGAGACCAACACCTACGCAGTCTATGAATACAACCCAAAGCAGCAACTTTATTGTTTCAAAAAATCCCATGTCCAGCACAAATCCAAATCCTACAGTAGACACTGAAAAGAGAAAGATTTTTAAAATTAGCTTTGGAAAAGAAAGCACAAGATGTAAATCAGTGTTATTTTTCTGAGTTTGGTGCTAATAAATCTCCAGTTTCCTTTTTATCTTTAACCTTGTGATCTTCAGTGCAACAGCTCCGAATTCACACAATGCTGCAACAGAATACTGTTTTGTAAAAGCTCCTTGTTAACCAAAGCCATGGGCAGACTCAAGGAGTTTCTAAGGCTGGGAAAGACCTCTCAGATCATCATGCAGTCGAACCAGCAGCCCACCCCCAGCGTGGACTGACCACATCCCTCAGAGCCACATCCACACGGTTCCTGAACACCTCCAGAGACAGTGACTGCACCACCTCCCTGGGCAGCCTGTACTAATATCCAACCCGACCCTCCCTTGGCACAAACTAAAGCCATTACTTCTCATCCTATCGCTGTCACCCGGGAGAACAGCACGGCTCACTTCAGCCCTACGCGGCAGCTCTCAGCCCCACCTCCCCCCGCCTCTCCCTCGGCACGCACCGCAGAGCCACACGCTGAGGAGCACCAGGAAGGCGGGGTCGTCCCGCGCCCACTGGTCCTTGGTCTGCTTCCGGTAGTGGAAGTTCCTGTAAACCCGCTGCGGGGAGGTGAACAGGTACAGCATCTGCCACAGAGCGAACTCGAAGTCCATCTGCCGCACGTGCAGCAGCCGCCGCAGGTACTTGTGCCGTTTGGCGCCGGCCGTGTGCCGCGCCGCATCGCGGGGGCTGAGCGCGCCGTTGCCCTGACTGCGGGCCCCCACGGAGGTGGTGGGCAGCATCGCGCCGCGGAAAGGACGGCGGACGGCGGCGCCTGACCCCACCCGCTCCGCCGCCCGTTCCGCTTCCGGCGACGCCGCGCACGCGTAGGGGCCGCCGTCGGGCGGGGCGCTCAGGCCGGAAATCCGCGCGCGCTCCAATATGGCGGCCTGTCGCCGGTAGCGGCGCTTGAGCGCGTTGCAGCGCGGTCCCTCCGCCATGCCTAAGTACTACGAGGAGAAGGAGGAGGATGGGCGGGCCTGCGGCGGGGTGCGGGAGGATCTGAAGCAGTGCCTGCTGGAGAGTCCCTGCGTCCTGCAGGTGAGAGCTGGAGCGACCCCGCGCCTTCACAGACCCACCGTCGTCGCCGGCCACCTGTGAGGCTGCGGCGGGCGCGGTGCCTTGGCGGAGCCCCGAGTTTGCGTCCCGGTGGCTGAGAGCTGAGGGCGCTCACTGGTGATTTAATCCTTTTGCTTCTCATCCGACAGGAAAACAAAAGTCCCAGGCAATGCTTGAGGGAAGGGCACTGCAAAGGTTTGCAGCTCACGTTTTTTGCATGCAAAAGGTCGATGGTAAGTGCCCATGTGTGCGTTGGGTTTCTTCTAGTGGTTTTTTGCTTTCAAGTCCTTCTCTCTGTTCTCCAAAGAAAAAAGCCTTTAATTCAGCGAACAGAGCAGTTTTGGCCCTTGGATTTCACGTGGAATATTGTGAACAGCAAAGTTGTAGAGTGTGAGTAAGCTGGAAGAGATGCTTATTAAGATTGAATTCAGCTTAGAATGCAGCAACCAAAATAAGTGAGGTGGGTGCTCTCAGCACTGCTTTTAATCAAGCCTTGATTTAAGCACCATTTATAGATGCTATAGCTGTAAACTGAGATATTGAGTAAACTGAGGTATGAAGCTGAGTTCTGTCTGAAGTCATAGGAAAACGTGTACAGAGAACACTCGAGTTGGAAGGCTGTCATGTCAAAAGGCACTTCCACTACTGGTATGGGTTTGTGTGCCTGAAGATAGGCAGTGTGGGGTATTAGAAGCACTTGGATGATTAGGGAGTTTGGCTTTTTATCTTTTTAGTAGCGGGTTATCAGGCTAGGTGGTGAGAAGTCAGCTGTGAAAAGAAAGAAAACGTAATTAGATAAAGTTTGTCTAGTTCTGATAGGAGTTCCTTGCCCAGAAACATAAAAATATGCTGGGTATGTTAGCACTTGAAGTATGTAATATTTGATGCTGCAGCATAACTGTCTCCAGATGTCTGTCGTCTGTCTGTAGATCATTAAAGGATTTTAATGAAACAGAGCATCTAACACAGAGTTTCAAGTTATGTGAGAGGAGGCGTGGCTCTCACAGGCTTCTGTTTAAGTTATCCCTGGCCCCACTGATATTGCTGCTGACTCCTCCTTAAACACAATCTGAATTTTCCTCATCCTGCTTGTCCATTGTTTGGAAAAAGGTCTTACTAGATTTGCATTGTTTTGTACTCATGCATCCTGTGCCACTCTTTATTTGTGGTATTACAGAATCACAGAATCACAGAATCACCCGGGTTGGAAGGGACCTCAAGGATCATGTAGTTCCAACCCCCCTGCCTAGCAGGGCCACCAAACGTACACATTCAGATCAGGTTGCCCAGGACCCCGTCCAACCTGGCCTTGAACACGTCCAAGGACGGGGCATCCACAACCTCCCTGGGCAGCCCGTTCCAGGGCCTAACTACTCTCCTTGTGAAGAACTTCCCCCTAACATCCAACCTAAATCTTCCCTCCTTCAACTTGGATCCATTTCCCCTAGTCCTGCTGTTGTCAGCCCTTCTGAAGAGTTTACTCCCCTCCTGGGTGTAGGTTCCCTTCAGGTATTGATAGGCTGCAATGAGGTCACCCCGCAGCCTTCTCTTCTCCAGGCTGAACAAGCCCAACTCCCTCAGCCTGTCCTCATAAGGGAGGTGCTCCAGCCCCCTGATCATCTTAGTCGCCCTCCTCTGGACCCAATTACTGCACTTACTTCAGAATGCACAGCGTGCTTCCCACTTAATTTTAATTTTGCATGAGATTTTAGGTATTGCGACATCTGTTGACTTGGAAAATCCCTGTAAGTTGCTGGCTGCATCACTCACTTTCTGTGCAGTGAGTTCAGCTTCATTTTGAACTTGATTCTGAAGCTACAAAGTAGCAAGTGCTCTGAAGTATTTCTTCTGCAAAATGAACTGTGGTCTTTGTATCTTGTCTTCAATTTTCAGCTGGATACCAGGACAAGATTCAGAGGAAGGAAGGGATACTGAAGTCCTTGGAAGAGACCCTGTCATGGGAAGTTGGAGTTCATCAGTACTTTAACTGGAGCAGAGGCTAAAGTAAGAAGAATCTGTCTGCCACACATTCTTTTGTGCAGTGCTTTCATGGAAGGTGTCAACTTCTGGAAATTCTGATGGATGCCTGGGTGTGCATTTAAATGTTAAAAAGAAGGGAAGCATAAAGCTGCAAGTTCTGGCCGAAATGGGTACCTGCCACATGCCTGTAATAAAATACACAGAATCCAGAAAAAGCTGCTGAAATTATCACTGTGTTTTGGAGTGAAGTTTGTCTTTTGTAGTTATACTAATTCCGGTAATATTTTACCATTACTAATAGAAAATAATGAAATTTGACTTGAGTGGTGTGCCTGAGGATACCTCAGGGTAGAGCTGTCCTTAGGGAAGCTGAGTTGACCAAGGTGAGATGAGTGTGAGCTGATTCTTTCCCAGTCAGTTTATTTCCCAATACTCCTGCCCTTCTACTCCTAGGTAGAAGTAGTAGGTAGGTAGAAGCAGTGATGTCATTACAGTGCCACACACACGAGGATGGTCTCTCTTTCCTCATGATACAAATTCCTTTTAATGTAATTTTGCATGCTTATTAGCATGGTCTGATCTCATTGGATAACTGGATTAAAATTTGATTTCTGTATATTAAAGGTTGTTTGATCAATCTTACCATAATTGTCTTCTCATTGTATTGACACAGGTACAGGAGAATGATGGCAGTCTTTTTCATAATTTGAGAGCTGTGTCCAGGCTGTGGCTGACTGCATGTGTTTGGGTGTGGGGGGAGTGGGATCCTGACAAGCCAGAAGGCAAGGAGACTGTGGTCACTCTCACTGTGTTCTAGAAATGTTTAGAACATCTGTAAGATCCTCTGAGATGCCCCTGGACCATCTTTTTGCATCACTTTTCAGTCAAATGCATAATATTTGTGCAAACATATGCACAAACTAGAGGTGATGATTTGGACTTGATTGTTGGTTGGAAATTGCAGTCCATGAATTCTAAGCCTATTTCTTGTTTTCGCTTCTCTCTCTGAATTCTTTGGTTTGCATTTATGGATGTAAAATGTTCATATGCAGGTACATTGTAATAGCTTTTTATTAGAACTTTTAAAAAGCTTGCTTCTCCCTTAGTTGTTTTTTTTGGGGTTTTTTTATGTGTGTGTTAAATCTTGAATAATTTCATAATTTATGGAACAGCAGTAGTGAGAAGGCGAACAAATTAATAAGAGGAAGACATTGTTTTGTTCTCCTTTGACCAAGGATGACTGTGGCAAGTCTGTCTGCAGACGGAGTGTGTTCTTTGAGACACTATAGGTAACTCATCAGTAAGTCTTTTGCCCTGCCTTGGTAAGGAAGAAGGATTTATGAGGATATCAGATAATAAATAGCACTAAAGCCATGATAGTAGTCAATATTTATTCCTTCTATTTGAGAACTTGCTTCTGAAGAACTTGTTTTTCCTTTCCCTCAGTGTGTCCACCTCTTTCTCTGCCTCATAAAGCCTTTAAGAAATACATTATAACGTAATTCAAAGCTCAAATAATTTCAGACATGCTGATTAGAAGCAAGATTAGGAAATAGAAAGGAAAGAGACACAGAAACTTCTTGGCTAAAACGCACAGCCACAGAGCAGATGGATGCAGTGATTATTATGTGTAAAATCAATGACTTCAGTGGCTGAGCACATTGATGATGCAATTCTGTCTTTCTTAAGCAACAGCTCTGTGATGAGTCAATATGTTTGCTTTCCTTCTTGTGTAGGATTTGCGTATTACTGCAATCGTAAAACAACACCGATGTCACATTTTGATTTTTCTGCCTATCATGTGAAAGCAGCTTTGTCTGTGGAAGTACTGCAAATATTCTTTGTTTTCTGCAATCTAGGTACCAGTTTATCTCTTTATACACATTGATTAATTGCTGTGATGTCTTTTAACAGTCTCCGTGACTTAGCCCTATAATTTCAAAGTGTAACAAGTCTTCTGTGGAGATAGATACATATATATTCTTAAGGAAGAATAAAAATAAATGTAAAGCCACTTAGCAGATAACTAAATATCATTTACAGTGATAAAGTGCAGAAGCTCCTCTTGGGAATGAGCAGGCAGGAGAGCACAGGCAGGTGACGAGTTGAACCTATTATTTTGTTATTGGCTTAAGCCAATGGAGATCAAATGCTAAAGTAAGTCTAGTGTTTGCTACTGAATGCTTCAGGATTTAAGTAATTTAACACGAGATTAATACTGCTAGGTCTGATAGGAAGCTTTCACACTAAGAAATTCTAATGGTTCACTAGACTATCCAGACCAATATAAAATTATGTATTATCTGAATACTGACTTGCTCTAGAGACTGTTCAATACCAGTATTGTGTGGCATAACATTCTGTCTAAAAACGACTAATTACATAATTGCCTTGGGAGTATGAGCAGTGTCCTACTTGAGAGCTGTTAATGTTTCCTGTATGATTGATAAAAATCCTGTTTTATTAATAGAAAACTCCAAGTACTCCAAATTTATGTGCATGATTCCAACTTTTTTTTCCTGTGGCACAAAAATGTTTTCCTTTGAATAATCCAATGTTAAGTCTTTTGTGTTGTGCTATTCCACTGTTCTTTATTTAAAAGTACAGATTTCCGATCTGTGGTGGATTTTTCAAGATAGAATACATTATGTCTTTGAACCTGTGACAGAAAGTCGAAGTGGCACCCAAAGCCATGCTAGTGATTTCTATTGAGAAAGTACAAAAAAATTTTCCATTGCTGCTCTCACTTCTTCCATTGGTCTCAGGTGGTG